TTTTTTTTTTTTTTTTTTTTTTTTTTTTTTTTTCTAGTTTCATTAATCTCCAATGATGGTTAGTAAAATTTAACTAAAATATTAAACTATATTAAAAGTAAATAATAATGATTAAAATGTGATTTAATTAATTAATAAACTAAGATGCCTCACATATAAACAAAAACAACATTGAATTAAAAAAAAAAAACAATTCTATTTCTTTTTACAATTATTTTTTAAAAAATAATACACGGTAAATTAGAGTATTAATTTTTACTATTTTAGATTATTATATAAGTCTATTAAATATTAAATTAAAATTTTGTGGTTGAAAATATATTGAAATTAAAATGAATAAATAAATAAGTGTTGGCCTAAAAAGGAAGGAAGAACAGAAAGAGAGATGTTGTAGGTTTTTTGTAAAGTTGTCGTTCCCTCTAAGAACCTCAAGTTGATGTGACATGTCCTGCCTCTTACCCCATCAAATCAGATCATTGACACCTGGCATTTTCTCATTGGTCCATCCTCTCTATCTCCCACACTCCCTCCCCTCCACCCTCATCCTTTCCGCCTACGTGGCATTCCATCTCACGCCTACGTCATTCTCTCATTTTATTTATTTATTTATTTATTATTGCTTTTCCTTCCCCAAGCCTCGAAGTGCATGTCTATTGTTTTAAAATTTAATGTCCTATTAATGTCTAAAATGTTTAATTTTTTTATTAATAAAAGAGGATTTTGACATGATATTAGGAGAAATAACGTAATAAAAATGTTGGAAAGTACATCGAAATTAATTTATCAATTTGAGATATAGTTGAATTCATTGCTTTAATTATTAATATATGTTTATTGCATTTCTTTTAACTGATGTGACAATTTTTTGAAACTATACTTGATTTTATTTGTCAACTTTCATTATTATTGCATTTTGATTTTGTGGACTTTTAATTATAGTAATTTTATCTTTGCGTTTGTAAAAAATATCCATTTACCCTTGTATTTTATTATATAAAATAAGAAAACTCTTTAAATAGAATGGTAATTTTTTTAAAAAAAAAAGTTTAGAACAAACAACAAATTATTATGTGAGATGGAAAATCGAGGTCGTTTTATATATTTTTTTTATTACATATTCAAATAATTTCTCCACTAAGAATAAATAAATATTATGTTAATGGATTTTTGAAAAAAGTTATCAACCACATGATTGAAATTACACACTCCACGTGGACCAATGAAGAAAAGTAAAGGGTAAAATCGTCAATACAAAATAAGAATACTTCCCAAAGGTTCTCTCATCATAATCTAATCCAATGAAAATCACAGCATGGAATAATTCATAAATTATTGACTTCTATTGTTTCCCCATCATGACTAAAACCTCATTATTTTCCCATTTTACCCTCCGAATAACACAAATTACAAAAGCAAGGTATTTTTAATAAACTTTCTTGGATATAAATAAAGAAATAAAAATAAAAATCTTCCTTTTTTGTTTTTTGGAGATCCATGCAATCTCAACCGTTCAATTTATATGGTCAACGACAAAGAGAATGGCGACCAAAGAAAAAGGGAAAGAGAATGACCACTGATTTTGAAAAAGAAAAAGTTCAAAACTAAAATTAAATAAATATATATATAAAAATAAAAAATAAAAAGCTCTCTTTCTTTCACCCTCCCTACAACAAATGACACGAAGGTCTTATCTACTGCTCCGTACATCCGGCGCAGAGGATCGCAGCCGTTTAGTCTGAGGTTCGGCTGAGGGAGCGGCGGGTTCATGGCTAGTAGAGCCGAGATTGTCCAAGTGCGTGTCACAGCTACCACATGCAGCCGCGTCGAGCACGCCGACTGGACTCGGGGGAGCCGGCTGCTCGGCTTCTTCATTCCGTTGTTTTCGGAGGCCTAACGGACACGTGTCAATCACGTACTCCTCCATTAGTTGGTGACAGCTTCTCACCATTTCCTACTCTCAATAAATTTTTTAAAATTATTTTGACAGCAAAAATATTTTAACCCCAAACGCTCCTTTTTTTTTTTCCGCCTTAAAAAATAAAATAAATAACTAATTAAATTTCGAATTTGGTCCCTGATATAGATTTTAATTTCACTTTGGTCCCTATAAATTTCAGTTTGTTTCAATTTTGTCCTGTTTTAATTGTTTATATATGTTTTTAAAAATTATTATTCACACAAAGATCAAGATTCGTACAATATTAAAAATATACATTATGTTTTATTAAATACGAAAAAAGAAGAGGATTTTGTTTTTGCATACTAGTCCCTACAGAATTATGAAATTCGTTTTCAAACACATTGAATTAGTACTTACGACTCTGTCCGCCGTAAGGAAATGGCCACAAACCGCTGGAGAATCCAATCGCTCACCAGCAGCGCAGAGAACGGCGGCGGCAGCAATGGCGGACGGCCGGAACCCCAAGAAATCGATCACTGAAAATCATTCCAATTTTGTTTAAAAAACGAAATGGATAAATCGAACTAAGAACGAAGAAGACAAAAAGAGAAAAAAAGAAAACCGATTAAATATGATAACAGAGTGGTTTTAGGTTTTTTTTGTCGTAAGTACCGCGTGTAGTGCTAAGAATGAGATCGGAAGAAATTGAGAAGAGAAGATGGCAGTAGTCGCCGTCACTATCGCAATCGCCGCCGTCTGCGGCGGAAGAAGAAGGAAGATTGGAGATGTAGTGGTGGAGGAAATCGAAAGGCGTGATGGCGCGTAATCTCCAATTGAGAATAGACATGATCCAAAGCTCCATTCTCTGAACCGTTTTGGGCTCGAAGACGTATTGAGGCTCGAAGATTTGGAGGTCCAAAAGCAATGGGACCTGAGGCTCCTCCATTTTCGCTGCTAATGACAAACACGCCACCGATAGCAGCTGAAACGGCCATCCATTCCGCCGCTGCAAAAAACAAAGCCCTAAAATCATCAGCCTCAAAATTCCGATTCGATTCTTGAACAATCGAGACAAAAACAAGGGGGAAATCGAAATAGATCCTTAACCGGAAGAAAATTGGAGGAGAGGAAGCGATCGAAGTAATTAACCGAGAGAATCGCAGTGACCGGTTTGAAATTGTAGTGAGCGTGCACCTGCGAAACCCTAATCGCTTTTAAAAAAAAAGAACAACAATGCGAAGAACGCTAATGAAGTAACGATTAGCAGTAAACCTTCAAGATCCAGTTGATGGAGTCATGGCGAGCGGTGACGTCGATCGACCGGTCACGACACCGGAGAACGTAGTCACGGCGAGGCATGTGGTCAAGTTCCGACTGAAGAAGGGTGAAAATGGCAGAGTCATCGGAGGAAGAAGCGGCAGAATGATGAGGAGAGTGAGACATTGAAGAGAAGAAAGGTCACCGGAAAAGAAACGGCGACGGCATTGGAAAGGAGGAGGAGGAAGGTGAAACGGCGATGGAGAGTGGCGGTGGGATTGTTGGGAGAGAAGGCCATAGCTTTATGGGTTTAGATGGAACATAGTCAATAATCTGCACTCAGTGAGAGAGAGAGTGTTTGTGTCTCTTTCTCTCCTTATTATTTTAATTTTTTTATTTTTTAAAATGAAGTGCTGAGTGAGACAGTGAGAGTATTTGTGGGGGCGCGTTTGGCAAGGATCAAATAGATTACTGTAGCTGAGTTGTCATTTCATTATTGGTTAGTTTCTTAATGGGTTTATGACCACCTCCACACTAGATAACTCCTCCATTTTTTTCTCACTTTATTTAATTCATTTTAATTTCAAAATAGAATATTTAATTACATTATTATTATTTTTTAATTTCGAGGTTGGGTTTTTAACTTTTTATTTCAATCCAAAAGAATAAAAAAAGTGATAAATAATTTGAGTAAATTCATTAAGATACAAAATAAAAAAAATCAATAATAATAAATATGGAATTTCCATTATTGATAAAAGTATAATTTTTTTAATTAAAAAATCACATTTAATTTCCATTTTTTTATGATTATATGTTCTTGACCACACTTTTTATTTTTATTTTCTTTTTGAATATTGGAATAAAATTGAATTAAAATAGATGTAAAAGAAGTTGTATATAGCTTTGAGTGTAGCTTAAGTTTATTAAAGTACTTTTAAAACCTGCTTTTCTTATTTCTCATATTTATTAGTTTTTCTCTCATTTTCTTTCTGCCCTAAATAATATTAATATCTAATAAATAAATAAATTTTTACAATTTTTAAATTCCTTATTAAACACATGCTTAAAAGTTAATAAGCATATTAAACATAAAATTAAAAATTTATAAACATATTTAAACATTTTTAAAGCATAAAGGCAGTCAAATAGCAAGCAAATCACAGTTCTGTGTTCATATATATATATATATACTATCTTTACTGTCAGGAAAGAACAAGCATTTTAACTCAAAACAATGTCAAACATTTCCTCTCCTTTTTTCCTTAGGATTATGAAGTTAGAATGAGGGGAAGAACCTGCTGAGGTTCCATGGAAGAGAGTAGAACTCTTCGCTTCTCGTATCGACGTTGAACGACCAAAACTTCTCCCACCAATGGCGCCCGCTGTCTCGACGAGTCGAGCTATGGTTCCTCATCAGTGTGGTGTCCAAGAAGAAAGCAACCACTGCAGCCACTGTGGCTGGTGAGGAGAATATCACTTGCATAATGTTGTTGAACTGCAATGACAAAGCATTTAGACAGTATTCATGTAAGAATTCAGCTAGTATAGTCATCTGCTAATCAGCCAGCATTAACAATAGTGTTTGTTTCTTTGTGTAATCAAATTTAAGAGCTCACCCATCTGGCTTTAGTATGAACAGGACCATGCCCAGAAATGAAATGATACTCATTGAAGTACTGGGGCACAGAGAGGCCCAAGAACAGAGAGAATCCGAGTACGAATTTTGACCGAAAGCTGTTGAGGTTGCAGAATTGAAGTAACCCAAGACCAGCAGAAGCTGTTTGTCCAATGAGATAGCACAATAAAAGCATAGAGTTTAATTCTCTGAAAGATGAGATGAATTGAAACTGACAATACCAATCTAACATTTTGTCCCCACCACACTGACAACATTCACTTATAGCATTCATGGGGTAAGGTCCTGTGTAAGATTATAGGGCCATAATATTTTTGCATAACAAGTTATAAATGTCATAGAAGAATCAAACTTCAAATCAAGCGGCAAAAAGTGATGCATGAACAAAAAGCTTAAGCCCTCCTTAGCATAGTCGAAAGAGAACAGTTCGTTTCTTTTGGGATTGTCATTTAGGATAGACATTGTAACCGTTCATGTCCACCGCTGACAGATATTGTCCTCTTTGGACTTTCCCTTCAGGGTTTCCCCTGAAGGTTTTAAAACCCATCTACTAGGGAGAGGTTTCCACATCATTATAAGGAATGGTTCGTTCTCCTCTTCAACTGATGTGGGATCTCACAATCCACCCCATTGGGATCCATCGTCCTTCCTGGCACACTGTCCGGTGTCTGGCTCTGATACCATTTGTAACAACCTAAGCCCACCGCTAGCAAATATTATCCTCTTTAGCCTTCCTTTTCGGGCTTCCTCTCGAGGTTTTAAAACGCGTCTTCTAGGGAGAGGTTTCCACACTTTTATAAAGAGTGTTTTGTTCTCCTCTCCAACCGACGTGAGATCTCATAGACATGTTATTGAAAATCGGTTCACATTCTTAATTTGTCTCTTGTTGTTCTGTTTGGTTGTCTTGTTAGTAGTAGTATTTCACTCAAAGTTAATCCGTGGCCACGTCCGATTCGGTTTAGGAGGCTAAGGTTGAGGCTGAAGAGCTGTTTACAAAGTTATGATAGCTAGAATAAAGATGATAAAGCTCAAGCAATTATTTGTACTTTTTTGGTGGCTCACACTCTTAAGTTGTTGGTGGTTAAGTTCATAGCAGCTGAGAATTTATAGCCTAACTGTTATAGATAAGAGCAGTGTGCAGTATAAAGTTAATACTCACCATTCTATTTCAGTAGTCCTAAGTATAGGGTGGTTCATGGTTTGTAGCAGGTGGCTATGTCTTTGGCTATAAATGGTTTCATGATTAGAATTTGAGTATCATATAATAAGATGATTTCGAATTCGATATTAATTATGGTTACGTCTGACAACCACCCTATCATTAATTCATGTTCTTTATAGGCCATTGTTCTTTCATTTTTGTTTTTAGAATTTGATTAAGAATTCAAATGTTTAAAGGGATCTTAACTTCTGTGAAATACTTTCTAATAATCTTTTAGAAGGTTATCTAAATTAAAGCAGTTCTCAAGGTTTTCTAAGTGTGGAAAGCTAACAAAAAGGTGGAAAGGAAAGGAATAAAGATGGTTTTTATGAACAGAAAAGTAAATAGAAGACAAAATTCACTATCTTTACGAATCTTTAGCTGCCAGTCGACTATTGTTACATTTTGATTCTTTTGGGTTTTACTGAACAGGATTGATCACAGAGCATTGAAGATTTTACAATACGAAGAAACTTACCAACATAGGCAAAGAGGACACAGTACAAGGCTGCCATTATTGGTAAGGGTACAGAAGCAAGGACAGCACCAAATTTGCCTGTTATCATTGGATAAGATGAACTTGAAAAACTATTGGTTAAGTAAAATTATAAAAGTAATACCAATGGCCAAGTTGAACAATCCTTTCATTGGTAGTTTAAGATATTGCGAAGCATAATTGTATAGTTGTGAAGGCAGTAAACATGTCATGTATTCATAAGTTAAAAGGCTTTTGTCCAAGATTACCTAGCACAGAGAAGAACAGCATAAACCCAGCAGAAATTTGAACAGCTCTTCGGCTTCCGACTCGGGTCAAACCCAAAAGACCTGCATTTTCACTGTAGAGATGGATTCTAATAAGAACATCCAAGCATTCAACATGTAAAGTAGTTGGTGGTCATTTGAACATAGAAATTGAAATTTGTTAGCCATTTGAAATTCCCATAGAATCAGATACCAGTGATATCCCAACACAAAACTGTGAAAAGGGCAGTACTTATTCTTATTCTAAAAGAGTTATAGCCATTTTTTATCACCTTCTAAGTTTTCTAGTCCATTTCATTTGTGGCTCCTGTAATAGCCCAAGCCCACCATTAGCAGATATTGGTTTTTAAAACACGTCTACTAGGGGAAGTTTTCACGTCCTTATAAAGAATATTTCGTTTTTTTCCCCGACTGACGTGAGATCTCACATCTCCAATCTCTCTTTTCTTATATTGCTCACTTCTATTCTTGTATTATCTTAATGAAAGTTGATCACAGTATACACTATTCAGTACATTAGATATTATATTGAGCAATAGAGAAGTGCTTTTTTTCAAGGATTGTCCAAGGTTTATTCTTACACAGATGCAGTGGAGCCAACGCCAGTGCCAAATAATCCATCCAGCAAAGTTCCTACCCCCTAAGGATCAGACAGTGTTTATTCTATCAGAAGATGTGCAAGAAAAAGGAAAATAAATACAAATATTGGAGGATTGCTAAACTACCAGCCAACCAACTCCACGGCTTAGAACAGATGGCGGTATATGTGTGGCACTCCCATATCTTGCAGCTGCAATGAATGTTCCTGTAGACTAACAGTAGAAAGAGATGATATCAATAGGGTAGCTTGTTCTTAATCTCGTTGGGCCATGAGGAAAATTCATCATCAAGACAAAGCTGGTCAAGAAACAAAGAGACGTGTAAGAAATAAATTGACCTCAATGAGAGCAACGAGGGCAGAAGCCATCATTGAAAAGATATCTCCAGCATCAAAACTAGGACGCCCCCATTGAAATGGATAAGGAACCTTTATCCTGTAGTTAAATGAGTATTGTTCAAGGTAAGAGACACGATTCTAGAGGCACTGAAACACAAAAATAATCAACAAGACTCTGGCCTAACAGAACCTTTAATTCAAATTACACAGTATTTGCTAAAATAATTTCACAAACGACATGCAAGATTTGATGTTCAATGAAGAGGGTTGTACAAAACTAATCTTTTCAAAATAGTTTAGTATTGATGAAATTGTTCACACTCAGAAATCCACTTTTTAGGAGCGAATTTGGAATTCGCAGAAGCCATGGAGCAGATAGGAACCATTTGGAATTCCCAAGAACCCATGGAGCTGTAGGAACCAAGAGTAATATATTGACAATGAAGTAAAACCTCAATGATAAAATAATTTTAGCTTTGTTCAACCTAAGCTTTGTAAATTCTTATGTTTAGAACTTGCATACTGGAGTTTTGGAGTGATTCGAATCACGAGTTTAGAAATAAGTTTTCTTTACTCTTGATCTTGATGCTCTTGATCTTGATCATCAAGATAATCCGTTCCAAAACTTTCCCTTGAGTTAATTCCATATCACCTTCCCTATTTATCAGTCTTGCAGCTTCCTCCTCTTTATATATTACATAAGCTCTCAATCAAGTGGATAACCCCGAAAGATGAACTCAGCCACTTTTTAGGAGTTGGTCTTGGCTTGCCTCTTATTTTATTAGTAAAGCGGCAACAAGCAAGAAAACAAATGCGCTAACGCCTTTACTTGAGATCTGAAAATTCAAATGAAAGAGGAAATAGAAAAAGAAGAAAATTCCTTTCGAGTTTTGCCTTGACCCTTCTGTGCACCCGCCTTAGGCGAGGCCGATCCAACGGCTAAGAAAGTCTCCTTCTCCACTTCCTACTCAATCCCTTCATCCAGTCACTCATTCTACTAATAACAAATCCCCATTATAACTTTCCGATCTAACTACTGATATGCGCTAAAAATACTCCTAATGATATCTTAATAGCATTCCGGTGAGAAAAAACGACAGCTGAAGCTGTTAAATGTACTTCTATATCTGTTGGCTAAAACCAGCTTTGTCAAGAAAAGGGTTCGGAAATCATACTTCACATGCAATTTCTTACATTCTTTAGTCTCAATGCCTGATAAAGGAGAACTCATTTTTTCTTCAGATTTCAGCAGGTAAAGAAAAGCATACCAGGAGGCAGCACGAATTAGCCCAGAACGGTCAGTGCGGCAACTGAATTGAGTACTGGGAGGTCTATTTTTATATGCACCAGCTGCAGTCAATATCTCAGCATATGCCCAAACAATTGCAATGGAGAAAATAACTGCAAATCGATCAAATATGGCTCGTCTGCCTTGCATCAGGGGTGGTATATACTGCAGTATATTGGCTATATATCAGCTAATCTGACTTGTAATACGAACTTTGTTTGGAAACTAGGAAGTCCAAGGAACAGTTAAACTACGCACCTGAGATAATATAACCACTATGATCAATTCTGGAAGTCCAATTTCAACGCAATTGGCAAGCTGCAACCATCAAATGAATTCAGATAAAACTCTTGTTATTTACAAGGTAAATTCAATTCAGATTGTTCGAGATGTCCCGACGGATTTGCGTTCATTTCGACTTTGTTGCATTTATGTAGTTCTTATATTTAGCATTTTACTTTGGTTCAATGAAAAATCTTCTTACTTGAGGGAAACCCAGTGCAAAGAGGCCAAGTCCAGTGAGAGTTACAAGAGGAACTGCAGATAAAGGGCTGAGAAACCTGCATAACACACCATTCAAACATACTGTTTATTAGAAATCCTTACTCAAATAGCATATTAATTCATTGCCAAGCCTTCAACTCAGTATCTTACCTAGCAACAATCCTCCAAAACCCCAAAAACCCAACTATCATTGGCAGGAAAGATGCAACTATCAATGCTCCTTGTAAAGCCTTCATTGATTCTTTGAACCTCTAAAGGAAGAGGGAAGGAGGAAAAATAAGGCACAATTGAAGATAACAATGAAAGAAAAGCAATCACAAGGCTAGATTATGTCTTAAAAACAAATTGGGCGCACTCGAAACATTAGCCAGACCTGATGAGGATCAATGTAGAAATTGAATCTTCGAGACAAAGCTATGGAGATAGCTGGGATGATGAAGGCATACGACCCACCAATCACCACAGGCAACCGGGTTCCAAACCAGGTTTGTAATAATGTATTAATTCCAGCAACAAACAACAAAGTGTTTATCACTTCGGCCTTCTCCACCTATTTATATGAGAAAATTGTTTGGTTGAAGAGAAAATGGAGAGATGATTCGGGAAAACCGAAAAGTTTCCTGAGAAAATGTTCTTACATTTCCACCTCCCATCAAAGGAACGATTATAGTGGAGATTGCAACAGTAGTTCCGAGCATCAATAAGTAGTGTTGAAATCCCAGAAGTATGACTTCGGCTGCAATTTTTGGTAATTATGTCAATTCCCCTTCTCGTTTCAAGTAATTTTTAATCGATTTACATGAACAATCGAGGTGAAGTGAATCAAAACAGAGAAGAATTAGAAGGGAAAAATGAATCCCCATTGCTTGGAATACAAGAAAATACAGAAACCGTAGTATTCCAGCCATCGATCAAGCTACTTCACTTTTATGAAACTAGATTGCGACACTCTAAGAATTTATGCACCTGTTTGTTCATCTCCTACTTATTCTTCGCAACAAACAAATTAAGAAAAAGGCTGTCGCAATCGACAGAATCCTTTCTCAACATTTCCTAATCGTAACGCTTCTTGGTAGGCAAACAGCACAGTTACCAAATAAACAATGCTAGAAGTCTAGAACGGAATCAGAACAGTGATGAACGTACAGTAGATTGTTCATATCAAAATAACATAAGGATGTAAATCATTAATAGGAGAAACGAAGCACAATCACAAAAAGAGGGATAAAGAGGAAGCGATGAACTAGAACTTCAACTGTAAATAAACACAGAGCAGAACAGAGAGAGGGGAAGGGGATAAAATACGCCATGTCGGAGAGCTGGAAATGCAGAAATCGATGCCGGGAAGTTGCTCTCTGATTGGATGAGGCTGAAACTCGTCCACTTTCTGGGCTCCTCCGGCACCACCGGCGACCATTTCTCCTTCTCTGTGTTTGCTCTGTTTCAATGGTAGAATGCTGAGGCGAATTTGAATGGCAGAATGTGGAAGAATGAGAGAAATGGAGAAGGAGAGTTGGTTTGAGAATGGTTGATCTTATTTTCTTCCTTTTTGTTGAGTTTCTGTTGGTACAGATTTCAGCTTCCTGGAAAAGATGGCACTGACGACAACAGAGTCTATGCATGAAACTGACGGCGGCCTTGGCTCTCTTTTCATTTCTTTTTTTTTTTTATAATTATTTTTTGGATTTTTTAATCACCTTTAAAAATAAATATTAACTAAATATATCTCTTTAATTTTTAATACTTAAAAAAATTAATTTAATCTCAGTATTAAAATTTTATTTATCATGTATAAAAATTTAGAAATTTTATATCAATTTTTTTGAAAATTTATAAGGTGAATTAAAATTTTAATTCCTATATGATATATTTTTACTCAAATTTTTTTTTATTAGGTCAATAAATATTATCTCAGATAATTTTATCTATTTAAAACGAATTAGATAAAAAAAAATACACAAAATTATAAACTTAAAATACATAAAATTAAAATGTATTTTAGGTTATAATTATAATATATATATATATAATTAGACCACGAAAATTTTACCCTTAAACCTTATATTTATTCCAGAAAGGCCCTTTAAATTAAAAAAAAATAGTAAAAGAAAAAGTTGAAAAGGTTAATAAAATAAATTTAATGTAACATAAAAATGAAAATACTATATGATATTATTTATATCTGATATAATTGGCATTAATTATTTGATTGATGACTTTGTATTAAAGAAAATTTATTATTCTTCATCGAACATTTTAATTGACTCATAAAAAAAATTATTTCAAATAATAATTAAAAATATTTTCAGTGAAAATGATAACGTGTCGATCAATGATTGCTTCTTGAAATAATATACAAGTTAATTATCAATTATATTAATGATCCATTACTTAAAAAAAAAATTATTTCACATGATTTATTGTTTTTCTTGTTTAAATTATGGATGAAATGCAAAATTTACATTCCTTTTTAAGTTTATTTATTTTTAAAATTTTTTATTTTATCGATTGAATTCTTTGACTGTGAAACTCAGCTTCCGCTACCTATTTCATCCTCATTTCTAAAAAACTCTCTATTTATTTTTGCGAAGATCAAGTCGGGACGGAGTCAAAAAGTGAGACGAGGAGTATAATAAATTAAATATATTATTATATCTTAATAAGGAGGTCGAAGAATTCTTCATGGAAGTTGAGCTAACCATGATTCATTTCAATCTTGCGTATGACGGTGAATACATGATGTTATAAGCTCGAGTATCGTGGTCGTAAAATTTGTATCTTTTAACTCTCTCGATAATATTCGACACTCCTGAAAAATATTAACAGCTTCTAGAGCTACATATGGAAAAGACGTGAATAGAAAATTGTTTGAAAGTTTATATTTGATCAATTAAAATGGATGAAATATCTAAAATGGACGTGCACGTATGTCAAACCAAATAAAGTTTTTAGGTTTGTTTAGCGTCGATTAGAAAGTCAAATGAGATTAATTAATTTTAACCTAAATATAAGAGAAGCCATGGGCATGGATCACCTACCTAAACCTAAATCTAGAAAGCAAGCATTGTTTTCTTCAACAAAACATACACTAAATCTTCTTAATTACCTCTTCAAATTAACATTAAAAAAATAATTAAAAAACTCACCCACTCCCAGCTCTTTCCTAAAGAATAATTCTTTAAATTTTTTCCTTATTAAGAAAATAGAATATTAACACATCCCGATTGAACATTTTTACAAGAGACGTTTGAGATCGCACATTAGTTAGAGAGTAGAACGAAACATTTATTAAAAGAGTGTGAAAACCATTAAAAAAATCGTGAGACTGATGACGATATGTTATGAGCTAGAGTGGATAATATATGTTAGTAGTGAGGTTGGTGAGAGTCAGACATTGGGTGATGTGCCAATAAGGACACTGGGCTCGGGTGGATTGCTGAGATTTTAAATTGGTTGGAGAGAATGGTGTGCCAGCAACAACATTTGGGCTCCAATGGGTGGATTGTGAGATCCCATATGGGTTGGAGAAGAGAATGAAGCATTCTTTATAAGAGTGTGCTAGCAGTGAGTCTGGGTTGTTAACTTGAGAAAAAGCCTAAAAAAGATAATATATGCTAGCGGGGTGAGCATGAGATGTTACGGGACAACAAGACAATTTTGGAGAGTGTCAGAGTTATTGAAGCCCAAAAAAGATAATATCTACTAGCAATGAGTGTGGGATGCTACAGAGTTATTGGAAAAGACAATATCTACTAGCAATGAGTGTGGGATGCTACAGAGTTATTGGAGCCGAAAGAGACAATATCGGCTGAGTCTAGGTATGGTGTAAAATTAATTAATAAATTTGTGAATCAAGACTCGAAGGATCAAGCCCAAAAGTATCAAGATCCAAGCCCAACCCTTTAGGCCCAAACACGAGCCCATGACAGTGTCAGTGTTAGCGATGTAATTCTTCGATTATCCCATGGCAATTACCGAACTTTTGTTAAAATATCTTCTCTCGACCATCTTTAAAATTTTATTTTAAAAAATCATAAAATAAATAAATTGTATATAATATATAGTATTGACAACTTGAATTAATTAAAGTCCATGTAATTATATGATTATGCGTGGGGCATCATGGAAAAGTTTGGTCCACATTCCTTTTATTCTTCATGTAATCCAAAGTTTGGTGGGAAGCTTAGCTGTCACATTACATTATATGAAAAGGAATAACATTTGATAAAGTGATGCTTATTTTTAAAATTTGTACCCAATTTCTCCGTTATTTACACATTTTCTCTCATTTTTAGTCATATTACAAAATTGCCCCATCTAAAAAAATTAATCCAAATAACAATAACTGTTTTATGAGCGGATTAAATAAATTATAATTATTTAAAATTTTAATGGTGAATTACAAATTTAGCCCTTACTTTATTGAAAGTTTAAGTGGATTTAATGGTTGGAGCGGGTCCACTTTCCCAATACCAAATTCGTTATGGTCTTCTAAATAAAGTCGACAAAAAGAAAGAACCTCGCACGTGCGCACCAGCACGTGCTGCCTGGGTTCCCGGAAACTTCTGGGCTTTATCTGAATTTGTCTAGAAGTAACCCAATTTGGAATATCATTTAAATTCTTTCCTTTTTATTTATTTATTTGTTTATTTTGGTAAAATTCAATTTTCATTTCTAAAATTTCTAATTAATTTTAAATTTAAATTTAATTGTTATTTTAAATTGATTTTTATTGTCGATAATAAATTAAAATTTTAATTCATTGAGATAAAAAAAATAGAACAAATATCAATTTTAAAAATTAAATAGAGCTAAATTTAAATTTAATCATATTTTCCTCTTTCTTTTTATTTTTTTCGCTATATTTTTAGCGTTAATATTATATTTAATATGTCGATTAATTATACAAAAATAGAAGTCAAAATTTGAATTTGAAATTGTGAAGAATAATGATTTAATATTCCTCAATTATTCTCTATTTTATATATATATAATTGTTTCTCTCTCTTTTCCTTTTATTCCTTTTGGAGTCGATTTAAGTGAATTGTCGTAATCAATTTGATGAGTCCCCTTTTATATATATATATGGTTAAATATAGTAAATGTATATTTTAATCCGAAAATTTTGACGTCTATAATATTTTAAAGTTTAATCTATTTTTTTAAAATTTGAGAGGATGACATCACTAAAATTATTTATATTTGACATTTGACCTCTAAATTAAATCTATTAGATTTTGTAAATAAAATATTATATTTAAATAAACTTTTCTGTAATTCGTTAGTTACTAAGTCAATTTGTCTCTAGATAATTAAAATTTTACTATTGAAGCGCCTGTAATTTTGAAGTGACTTGATCTTGGAAGCTGCCTTCGAAGACTACATTAAATGAAAGACGTTAATGCTCAAGTTTGAAAATTATAGATTGAAGATGGAAGGAAGAAAATGGAAGAGCGAGGTGAAATATGGTGTAGACAGATTCAAGGGTATCAATCTAATTTTTGGAATTCAACCATAACTATGAGACGAGATACTAAATTTTTAACATTAATTTAATTAAAATTTCAAGGATATTTTTTAATAACAGATATTATTCTCTTTGGGGTTTCCATTTCGAATTTTCCCTTCAAAATTTTAAAATGGGAGAAGTTTACACACCCTTACAAATAAGGTTGGTTCTCATCCAGACTGATGTGGATCTTATATATCTAATTCAAACCATAAAAGGTTGAGTCCGATTATTATTATTATTTTTTAGTTTGGGTTCGACTGAATTTTTGGAAAATCGAACATTAAGGTTCGTCTACGGGTTGACAATTTCTTGGTCGGGTCAATCTAAATAACGTGCAAAATAAGGTTAGTAGTCCAGTCATATCCTAATTTTTAAAATTATTATAAAAATTGAGAATATTTGATATCTGGTTTTACAACTGTGTTAAATATAATAATATTAAGGAGAGCAAAATAAAAAAAAAATAAAAAAAGGCGAGAAAATAATAATTGGTCAAAACGACAGAGTTCAAGATTTGAAGTCTAGCGAGGAGATTCTTCATCCATGTACGCGTTCCACACGCGGCTCTTACCTTACTTTCCATTTAAAACTCCCACAGGAAAAACTAATTTTTTAATAAAAAAATTCCTTAATGTTGAAGGAAAAGATCCACACCGTCAATTGTCACCATCCTCAACCTCCAATGTCATTACGTGTCAAGATCATAGACCCCTCTGTCAACTCCTTGATTAATTAACAAATTAAGTTGAATTAAGAAGACTGCTTAGAGATAAGCCTCCCCGGATTCGCAGCGAACAAACAAAACCCTCTCTCTCGGTAATCTCAACTCTTCTTTCTTGATTGAATATATAAATCCGACCAACGCTGTCTTCTCCATCAACTCTTTCTCCTTCATTCGTTTCTCATTCTGTGAATCCGGCCGCTTTTGTCATCGTCCGGCGGAGAAGGTCACTGTCTGGTTTGGTTGTGTTCGTCGGGGGATTCATCGTCTGTGGTTGATTTCAAGAGGAAGAAGGGATGAGTTATTATAATCAAGGTCAGCCTCCGGTTGGAGTGCCTCCGCCTCAAGGTATTTCATCGTTTCTATTGTGTTTTTTTTGGTGTTCTGGTGGTTTGGAGTTTTGGAGTTGAAACAAAGGGGTTTGTGGTGTGCGATTGTAGATCTGGATGTTCTTTTGTGTTGATTTAGGGTTTTGGTGGTCGTTTTTCAGGTTATCCGCCAGAAGGTTATCCAAAGGATGCTTATCCGCCACAGGGATATCCTCCTCCCGGATCTTATCCGCCGCAGGGATACCCTCCGCCTTACGCTCCTCAGTACGCGCAACCTCCTCCTCAACAACAGCAGAACAGCGGCCCTGGTTGCATGGAAGGCTGGTAAATCTCTCTCTCTCTCTTTGATTTCTCTCTTTTTGTTCATGGCGGCTGAACTCGGATCTGATCTGAATCGGATTCCGATGATTTGGTATCGGAAAAACTGAGTTGATCGGTACGCGTCAGTTGCATCATCGGTGAAGAGTTTAGCCTCCTTTTCATCGGAGACGTTTTTCTTGGAATTATCGCTTCGTTGAAATCCCCAAATTAACCCCCAATTAGCCTCCAAATTACAGTCATTCAAACTTTTCAAATCTCATCGTTCACCCTCTTAAATCCATTAACATTTTCCATTGAACTTTCAATGATTACAAAAATGCTCAAACTACGCTAGAAATTTGATACAATTCAATCCTTCATATTAGATTGTTATAACTAATTTTGTGTCTAATATGAACTCTGCAGTTTAGCTGCTCTGTGCTGTTGCTGCCTGCTTGACGCCTGCTTCTAAACAGTATCATCCATTTACAGTTATGCTGTGCTTCATAGTCCAAGAAGATCGATCTCTCAGTGAACTTTTCTCTGAATGCAAAGAAAAAAAAAATGGAAAAACAATCGAGTTGATGATTTAATTACTTGCGTTTTATTATAATATTTTAGTTTAGTGCTTGTTCTTCGTTTCCTCCTCTTCACCTCTACATTTTTCATAATAAATAACACCATCTCTCCCCAATTATCTGTTTTCTCTCTCGCTCTCTCTCTTGGTTTCCTATGATCGATGGGTTTCTTTTTGGATCATCTGTGTTCTTGAGATACGATTCCAAATTTTACAGTTCATGATATTGGACTAACTCCATTGATATACCTTGTTATGTTAGTGAAGTTTTTGGGTTTTCTTGTGAATCGCATCGTTTCGATTGGACTGTACCCTTGAAAAAATTAGACCTTCAAACCAGATTGCCTTTTAGAGATGTGGTGGCCAGCGAAGCAGAAGAATATATGGTGAGTAGCGCAGTGGGTGCTCCTGCCCCGTCCTTGTCCCGCCCACCCACGGCATGTTGGTGTCGCATGCGGGCGCCATCGCATCATAACACCACGATTCTTCATGATGCCTTCAACTCTCCCCAACGTTTTAAATGATTATATTTGATGGCCCCGATATTTTTAGAAAAATTGCTAATAATTCATAACAAAAAAAAAATATGGGAGTTGACAAATAAACATTGTACCATTTTTAAGTAAGTTAAAAGTTTAATTACCTTATAAATTTAGCTTCCAAATTTTGAAAATTTGAAATCTGTGGTGGTTTGATTTTTGAATTTTGGTATGTATATTCTCTTAATTTTTAATTAGATTTTTATTTAGATAGTTTTGCTGCAAACTGTGGTTGTTGGCCTTGTTTGCTTGCATCACATATAGCACAAATTTCAATCTTTTAAACCTCTTTTTTGAAATCTCTTTGCCCCGTTTTTTAAAATTTTCATTTTGAATCGGAGCCAGAGGCTTGAACATACGTCGCTTGACTGTAGGTGAAGCAAAAATGAATTGGCTTAACTCACTTGTTGCAACGTGTAACAATTCAATCTTTTATACGTTTAAATTTTTAACGTTTTAGATATTGTTGTAAAAGAAAAAAAAAATCATCAAAATTAAATATACAAATTTATTATTAAATAATTTTGGCCTTTAGTTTTTAATTAATCTAACTTAGCAAGAAGCTTTATTAGTTTTTTTAACCACCATTAATTTTTAAAATCATATAATAAAATAAAATAAAATTTTAAGTGTGGTTATAAATTGAAAGTAAATAAATTAAATTGTTATAATTTTAAATTAAAGGACTTAACGGTGTAGGATGAAAATTGATTTTTTTTTAACTCTTTTGTAAAGAAAATAATTAAACACATAATTTAAACAAAAAATTAATACAAATAGGGTTTTGAAGAACAGAATTAGGATTGCGTTTGGAAGCTGAATCTGCGCTTGATAAAAGTGGTTTTCCCGGAAAAATTACGAGGAGGCTCAGGAGAATATATAAATATATGAATCTCGACGAGCAGTTGAGAGAATTTGAGCGGGTGAATTTTACGGCCATTGCTGCAAATTTCAACTGAACTTTGAATGTTCCGTGCTCGGAAAACCTAACTGAGGTATTCGTCTGTCTCCTTGGAGTTTGGAAATGTTTGCTCTGATTTGATCGTTTTCGCAATCGGAGCAAGCATGAGGAAATTGATGCAAAATGGTTATTTAAATTCGAATGACTTTACTTTGGAGGGTAGGGTTTTGGCCTTGCTCTTTTGATCGAATTTGATTTGATTGTTGAAGACGAAAGGAAAAACGTTGAAAATCGATAAATTGTTTGAAAGTTGAAACACAGGATTTCGGTTCCGGCCGGATTGGATTATCCGGACTTTGATTGAACGGCCTTTGTTTTTGCGATTCGCGACCAATTAGGAGATTTGACGATTCAATGGCGTGGTCCGTCCGTTTGAGCCGTTGTTTCTTCTTATTATATGTGGTCTTGATCCTATGAATTCTAGGACATACTCTACTTCCGGCTGATTTGGCTTAAACACTGGTAGACTTCTTATCGCCTCAGTAGTTCTCTCTTTTTTTTTTTCTTCTTCTTTTTAGTGCTACAACTTGCAGAGCTGGAGATATGAACCTTTGTCCGTCTGGGTGGAGGTTGCAATGTCTCAGTCAGTTTAGGTTGATTTTTTTTTCAATCTTTTGAATATATTTTTGAGATTTTGGCCAGGTTTTGGATGTTTTCCTTTTCAAGTTTTTGTTATACTCGACTTTGATGCGAAGTAATTAGTTAATCTTCACATTTGACCTTGGATGAAAGCTTAGAATTTCTCATGTGTTCTCTTTGGATGTTTTGGATATGAAAACATATCTGTTCCTTTTGGGCTCTAAATAAATATTTTCTGATTTTGAAAATGTAGTTGGCCCTTGGTGTGAGCCTTCTTTCTGCTGTTTTTGATGGGTGCTCCGAAGCAGAAGTGGACTAACCAAGAAGAAACAGCCCTGAAGGCTGGAGTTGTTAAACATGGAGCTGGAAAGTGGCGAACAATACTTAAGGATCCTGAATTCAGTGATGTACTGTATCTTCGTTCAAATGTTGATCTCAAGGTAAATAATAGTGTTTTACTAGTCTAGAGCATGTTATTCCGCAACTCTTTATGTTAAGTTCTAGTTTTACTTAGAATGTGTTGAAAGAGCAATTGTTTTGCGTGTAAATTTAACTGATAGATAGATTAATACGTGCGTCGATAATGAAAAAGGATAAGTGGAGAAACATGAGCGTCATGGCTAATGGCTGGGGGTCCCGAGAGAAGGCGAGGTTGGCACTTAAGAGATCGCATGCTCCTAAAAAAGATGAGAGTATTGTGGCCCAAGGCATTGCTGTCCAAAGTGAAGATGAATTTCCGGAAGCCAAGACTGTTTCCCTTTCCTTGGACATCAAGCAGATAGCTGGTCCAAAGCAATCAAATGTAAGGTTGGTCAAATCCTTCATTGTTTTCCTGTCGCCTTTATTTGAGTTCTTATTTCTGTGGACAAGTGCTTTGTAACTTATCATTTGATTATTCTTGAATATTTTGAATTTTGTTTTCCCACAGCTTAGTAGATATACTTTTACTGAGTTCAACAATGTCGAAGTTGAAATTTGAATTTGTAACGGCCCAACCCCACCGCTAGCAGATATTGTCCTTTTTGAGCTTTTCCTTTCGGGCTTCCCCTCAAGGCTTTAAAACGCGTCTGCTAGGGAAAGGTTTTCACACCCTTATAAAGGGTGTTTCGTTCTCCTCCCCAACCAATACGGGATATCACAATCCACCCTCTTCAGGGACCAGCGTCCTCGTTGGCAGTCGTTCCTTTCTCCAATTGATGTGGGATCCCCACCAAATCCACCCCCCTTCGGTGCCCAGCGTCCTTATTGGCACACTGCCTCGTGTCTACCCCCTTCGGGGAACAGCCTCCTCACTGGCACATCGCCCGGTGTCTAGCTCTGATACCATTTGTAACGGCCCAAGCCCACCACTAGCAGATTGGGCTTTTCCTTTCGGACTTTCCCTCAAGGCTTTAAAACGCGTCTGTTAGGGAAAGGTTTCCACACCCTTATAAAAGGTGTTTCGTTCTCCTCCCCAACCAGTATGGGTTATCACAGAATTTTTGATCTTTAGGACAACTGTAGAATGTCTTAAATCTGTTGAGTTATGCTGGGGAGAGTGGATATTAGAATTATGATTTTGGTATTATGTATTATGAATAGTGGGATTGGTTCTTTTTGAATATTCTATTGAATGATCCAATCTTAAGCGATGGATCTGTCATGGACTCGGTCATATTACTTGGAACTTGGGAGTTAAGAACATCTGATGAGCATTATTTATTTCAAGAATCAAAAGGGCTATGCCTGCTAGCTCGAAGAAGAAATCTTATCTTCCTAGTCTAAATAAATGTATCTTATGCCCACTTTTGAACAGAAAAGAAGAGGAAGAGGAAGATGAAGAAGAAGAAGAAGAAGAAGAAGAAGAAGAAAAAGAAGTAGAAAGAACAGAAAGAGATGCAATGTATGATTGTCATAGGTGGGATATCTGAAACATGCATTGATGTGCTACATATTTTGGTAGCAGAAAGGCGTTTAACTTGTTTTTCATTTTACAGGTTAGACAATCTTATAATTGAGGCAATTTCTACCTTGCGAGAACGTAGTGGCTCTATTAAGAATAGCATTGCTTTATATATAGAGGTAGTCTTTCTTCAATTTCTCATCAATTCAAGGAGAAAATCAAAGGCAAATGTTCATTTATGCAAACATCCCGAACTTTCGGAAGTAAAATTATACCCCCAATTTAGGAATTAGTCAAACCTCTCCATGGCTTAACCATTACAGAACATTGAAAAAGAAGTTAAAAACCAGTGGGATCGATAATTAAATGGATGATATTAGCGTTGAAGCACAGAAAGCTTTCGTGGCGAAGAAATGCTAACACACACTTCCTATACCCGAGTTTCTTGAGTTTGCCACGAATACAAGTGTTCTGCTATTCACCAAAGGTGAAGCAGAAACAGAAAGACTAGCCATGTTCTGTTTAGTTAATCTTCACAATTAACTCATCATTCTCAGTAGAAGTTTGTTTGTTTGGTTGCTTTTTAAATTGCTGCTATTGATGAGTTCCTTTCTCTTTCTCTTTCTTTTTTTTTTCTCTTGCATCAATAGGGTCAGTACTGGGCTCCTCCAGACTTCAAGCGGTTGTTATCATCGAAATTGAAGTTCTTAACAGCTAGTGGTAAACTGGTTAAGGTAAGCAAATCTGTCATTTCATTGTTGATTTCTTTCTTTTAAAAAAAGAACTCTGAAGTTATTCTGATTTGAGCTATTTGTTCCTAATTTTTGGTTTCTTATTGTGGAATGCTTTAGTTTCTGTACTGTACTGCTATATTATCTGATGATATATATCGACTTCCTTTGGTGGAGTTGTGAGGCTGGTTGGAATTTTAGCTATCCTTTTGGACTATTTCGCCCAAGACGAGGACGAATTTTACATTAAGTTTAGTGAGTGATAGAGCTGGACATGTAGAAGATCTCAATGCTTTAATTTGTTTTGTTGTTGGTAATTGTGAGGTTTTTATTTGTAACTGGGCAGTATGGTAATTTTTATTCGAATCCCGTAAGTGACTAAGCACGAGCGAACCATAACATAAGGGACGAATTGACTACAACTCATCTATAAAGAACTCTTCTCTTTTCGGTCTATTTGCATCAGGCTTTCACCGTATTAGTAAGAAGGTATTCCCGAAAGGGGGACGAAACCCTAAGATCTTGTGTGCCGGCTTAGTAGCATGTAAACAGAACACGTAGCCTAAGTGGAACTCAATATTCAACCAACCTATGATCGATCCATTTATTCTTTCAACTTACCATCAATCAACCATGTCTTAGGTTCTCGTTGCGGGAGATCTTGGAACGTGCCCTGTAAATGCGCATACAAATAGGGTCACTATTTGCCTACTACTAAGTTGAGTAAAAGCGAAGAGTGGATTCTAGATTATATCAATCAGGTAGGCTGCACTGGGGTTCTAGAAAAATCTCGCCTTTGTTGTTTGGCAGGGACTTGTATTTTTTTTCAGTATTCTCAAGAGCATGCGTCTTAATTTTCATTGTTGAAACACTTGAGAGGATGACAAATTTTATTTGACTTTAATCTTCCACATAAATGCTATTTGTTATAAATATTGTTGTGCATCTTTGTACTTTTTTTTTCATATGCTAGATTCCATGGGTGCCTAGCATGATTGCTTCTTAGTCGAGTTTCTTTTTGTCCAGGTTAAACGGAGATACAGACTCGCTTCAACGGTGTCTTCTTGCGAGAGAAGGGGCTCTATGTTATTGTTGGACGACCAGCATAGAGCCTCTATGAGAGATAACAGAGATGAAATGTGTACACTTGCAAAAGCTCAAATGGATCTTGAATTGGCGAAGATGAGGACCATGACATCCCAAGAGGCAGCTGCTGTTGCTGCTCGAGCAGTTGCAGAAGCCGAAGCAGCAATAGCAGAGGCCGAAGAGGCAGCAAGGGAAGCCGAGGCAGCTGAAGCAGATGCTGCAGCAGCACAATCATTTGCAGAAGCTGCAATGAAGACACTGAAAGGAAGAAATCTTCCGAAGATGGTAAAACTGCATAATATTTACCGTTGAAAACTTGAAAGTGCATTAGTATCTATTTCTTCGTTTCTTAATTTCATGAGTCAAATAATTATGATCCTTTTCTAATATGATTATACAAGAGGGATGTGACAATTTATAGAATCCACATTATTATCTTTACCATTGAGTTAACTGCTTGAAGGGACCATAGTGTAACGGGAAGTAATTCAAGGAACGAAACAACTAGGTCGAGTTTTGAATACTAAAAACGAATAATTTTAAATTTGTTAAACAAAAAGATGATTTTTATCGACTGTTTTGAGTTTAACGAATGTCTCAGAACTCTATCCTTATATGCTTCTCCTTTTGGTACATCTTAGCAGATGGTTCGAGTTTGATGGAAAGCAAGACCTGATTTGGATGAGTTATGCGCTGTTCTTAATTTGATCGGACATGTTCTGCACTTGCTATCAGTAGAGCATTATAAGCAACCTTCTCTCGCCCACCATTTTCAACCACTTTTTGGGCAACTCGAGCAACAGGGTCAGACTTGGATATCTAAACAAGGGAAGTTGCCATGGGGCTTAATTAGTTGCAGGTAAAAAATGTATATTTCTTGTAGTATAGCAAATCTGTGGGCTTCATCTAATGCTCTTTCTGGTGTTGATCAATTATTACCATTGTTTATTTTGATAGGCTAAGCTTGTCCTCCAACTTTGAAGTTGAAATTAGTGTAAACAAGCTTTTTTTTTTATACAATTATTTGTTATTCAACAATAATCACTGGCTGCCAGGCAATGAAATAAACGCTATTCTACACTTGCCAACCATGTTGAAAAAGCAGATCCACCAGCTACATTTAAGTCAACCACATATCTCCAACATAAAAAATAGCAAGAATAAATTTTAACTGTTGAACATATTAAAACAAACAGGGCATTTGGTCTAGTGGTATGATTCTCGCTTTGGGTGCGAGAGGTCCCGAGTTCGATTCTCGGAATGCCCCATATTTTTTTTTTAATATCATTTTTATTGATGAACTTTCCAGTTTCTTTCTTTTATTCCTGAGATATGTTGTTGATGTGCATACAACACAAGACTAGAACTATAATTTATTAAGTCAAACTAAAACTTTGTTTTAAAAAAAGTCCCGACTAAGAAGTTGAAAATCATTCATTAACTTCTCTTTCGTAATTTTCATTTCAACCAAAAACCAAGATGATTGTACCACAAATCCAAAATCAAGAAGGTATCACCTCAATTACAATAAAGAATTAAAATGAATTATGTATATTCAAAAGTAGAACATTTGGTGTAGTGATATAATTCTTTCTCAGAAGGCCCAAGTTTGATTCTCATAATAACCCATTTTTATTATTATTCAAGAGAAAAATATAAGCAAACAACCTAAATAAAAGATTGGGAGTATATATGGATACCGAATATGAAGTATGAATGCTTGAGCGCCTAAATGCAGCCAGCCAGAATCCCCACCAGGAAAATTTTCTATGTAAATTTGATTATGAGTTCCAAAAAGACAAGAGGATGAGTCATAAATCAAGGGAAGTACCTAAGTATCCTATCTTATTTCATCAATCATACCTATAAGCTTACCAACCACCACTGAAAAAGCAGCTCTATCAACTACAAATTACTAATTTTTACAATAGATCCAACATCAAGTTCATTACAATAAAAATTATTTAAATGAATTCTATTCATCTGAACAATGTATTTAGTTTAATTGTGTGATTCTCGTTTTGGGTTCCTGAGGTTCCGAGTTTGATTCTTCGAATGCCCCAAATAATTTTTACTATTTTAAACAGTGAACTTCCAAATTCCATTCAATTATTCATAAGATCTTCCTAGTTTATTGGTATTCCTCAATAATGACAGGCTACTAGACAATGAGATGAACACTACAACTATTATTCTATCTCTAAACTTGCTAACCACCATCCAATATGTAAATTCACCAACTACACATTAATCAAATAGGGCATTTGGTCTAGTGGTATGATTCTCGCTTTGGGTGCGAGAGGTCCCGAGTTCGATTCTCGGAATGCCCCAATTCATCTTTTTTTTTTTTGGTAAATCATTTTTCATAAGCGAACCTATCAATATTTTTTCTATTATTCATGAGATGTTTATATTTTACTGTTCATACGAAGAATGTAGACATGCAACCTAAATAAAAGACTAAGAAAATTTTTACATATAAATGAGATACCAAATGATGGAGGATGAATGTTTGAATAGGCAGCCAATAGTGCTAGGATCCCCACTCGAAAGCATATCAAATCATGTATACCTGTAAAATTATTTGATAATGTTTCAATAATTGAAAAAAAAAGAAAAAAAATAGTTGTAGTGGTAAACTCTTAACTTGGTATGGATACCACATTTAAAGGATGGATGCTTGAACACTTGAATGCAGCCAGCCAAGATCACCACTAGGAAACTTTTCTATATTCATTGTCATAATGTAATATAGATTTTATAACACTGGACAAGAAAATGTACACACGAGTTTCAAAGAAACGAGAGCAGGATAATTCATAAATCAAGGGAAGTAACCCAGTATTCTATCTTATTTCATCAACCATTCAAGAACAACGGAGTACACCAAATAATTGATGTTTATACCATATGAATATTAGATCTACATCTTCTAGCAGTAGATGATTCACACAGGGTTCTGAGTTCATTTTCTCACTGCCTCAACCTCATTTGGCCTGTGTTCATCGACTTTCTTTTCATAATTTTCATTTCAACCAGAAACATCTCTCACAATATTTTTAACATTTTTTTGGAATAAGAAAGGGTATGGAAATTTATTTATATATTTATTTCTTACTCAATTCTGATTGGGTCAGACAATTAAATGTGGTATAAGTCGACTATCAATATAACTATAAGCTTACCAACCACCACGAAAAAGCAACTACCGACTACACATTAGTCAATTTTACAATAGATCTAACATCAAGAAAATATAATCTTAATCACAATAAATATATATAATTCTTGGAATGCCCCCAAATAATTTTTAACATTAGAACTGTAAGCTTCCAAATTCCCTTCAATTATTCATAAGATCTTCATATTTCATTGTTTAAGAGAGGAATGAAAGTAAACAACCTAATAAAATGACTAGGAGTGTATATGCACTGATACCATCAACTGGAAAGCTCATCTGGCATGTAAGAACTTCATAATTCTAATAAATAAAAATTGACCATGATTTCAGAGAGAGAGAGCACCAAATAATTCATAAATCAAGAGAAAAAAACCTAAACATCCTAAATATCCTACCTCATGAACATCTTCATTGATATATACAACAAAAAGATTAAATATACATCTTCATGTGTCTTAATTAAAAATTAAAATTTTGTTTTTGATAAAGGCTAAAAATTGGACATTTGATCTAGTGGTAGATTCTCAATGATATTAGAGGTTCTGAGTTCAGTTCAATTCTTAGAATGCCGTTCAATTCTTAGAATGCCGCAGGTGACATGAGCCCATTGATTTTAGCAAACGCCCAGTTTGTTATTATTGAAAATTTTTTCATTTTTACTTTCTATTCATAATTGTCAGATAAACCATAAAATTATTTCTTCCTTTTTTGTTGCACAATATTTTCAAAAGTTAATTCATATATTTATTTTTTATTCCTAAAAAATGACAGGCTACTAGGCAATGAAATAAACTCTACAGGCCACCGTTGAGAAGAAGCAGCTCGACCAATTACACATTGGTCAACTATATGGACCCAACATCAAGAAGACATTCATATATAAATTTTATTAAATGTATTCAATATTCAAATAGGGCATTTGGTCTAGTGGTATGATTCTCGCTTTGGGTGCGAGAGGTCCCGAGTTCGATTCTCGGAATGCCCCATTTATTTTTGTTTTTATAATTTTCATAATTGAAGTTACTAATTTCTTTCTATTATTCCTGAGATCCTTAAATTTTACAGTTCATATGAAGAATGTAAGCAAGCAACCTAAATAAAAGACTACGAATTTTACATATAAATGAGATACCAAATGATGGAGACATATAAATGAGATACCAAATGATGGAGGATGAGTGCTTAAATAAGATATAAATGAGATACCAAATGATGGAGGATGAGTGCTTAAATAAGCAGCCATCTGTGCCTAAATAAAAGACTACGGATTTTACATATAAATGAGATCCCACCTGAAAGCATATCTATTATGTAAACCTACATGTTTCAACTAAAAATGTTTGATAATGTTTCATAGAGACAAGCACAAGATAACTCATAAATCAAGGGAGATAACTCTGTATCCTCATTTTGTCAACCATTCAAAAGAAACTTTCCTAAATACACCAAGTTTGTGTCTATAACACAAGACAGGAGTTATAATTTAAAGTCTATAACTAAGGGGGCAAAAAAGACAGTATGGAAGGTTTTGAGTTTAGTTCTTAGTACGCCTCATCTGGCATGTACTCGTTGACTTTTCTTTCATAATTTTCATATCAACCAAAAACCAAGTCAGTGGTACCATGGATCCAAATCAAGAAGGTATCATCTAAATTACAATAAAGAATAATAAAAGAACTATGTATATACAAGTTGGGCATTTGGTTTAGTGGTATGATTCTTGCTTTGTGTGAGAGAGGTTCCAATTTTGATTCCTAGAACGACCAAATTTACTTTTACCGTTTTCAAATTAAAACTACCAAATTCCGTTCAATTATCCATGAGATCTTTATTTACTCTTCCAGAGAAGCATATACGCGAACAACCTAAATAAAAGATTAGGTGTATATGGATACCAGATATGAAGGATGGATACTTGAAGCCTGATGCAGCTAGCCAGGATCCCCACCAGGAAGCTCTCCTACAATCTGTCATCATATCAAGGGAGGTAACCAAGCATTTTATCTTATTACATCAACCATTCAAAAGTAACTTTGCCGAGTACACCAAATAATTGATGTTTATACAGCATGGGGATTAGATCTACATCATCGTATCTTCTAATTAAGAATTGAAATATTGTACTTGATATATGCAAAAAAAATAGGGCATTTGATCGAGCAATAGATTCTTATTTTGGTAGTTACCATATTACAAAAGAAAGGCTCTAGTTGTTAATACAATAATTGTTTGAAACACATAGTTCCTTGGTCTCTAATGATATAACTCTTGCTAAAGGGGATAGAGAATCTGAGTTCAATCCTTGAAATAGAAGAAGGCCTTGACGTCGTTAGACTGAAGGCTCTGATATCATGTTGAGTTAAACAGACTTAACCTCAATTAGGGAGAAATAAGAGAAATGATAATAACAGAAAAAGGTATAATCGGTGAGCTCTCTTTAACAACTTTCTAAGTGAAAATATTCTGTAAAATCACATAACAAAGGTTCAGTAAGCAATCGATTGTTTTAGTTAGTGTAGCATCACTCTTAATCTACACACACACACAACTTCAATAAATCGTTTGTTCTTCGACATTTCATTCATCCTACAGCCGCAAAACGAAACTACTAGATACAGCAATTAGCAAGTAACCTGATCATCAACTAATTTGAATAGAAGTCAAATTTCTACAATCACAAACATAGAACGATATACATCACAGACTTCCACACTCTTCCCGACGGTGAATTCAATCAATAGGACAAGTGAAGATCAAGCGTAGTAAAAAGAAAGCAACTAAACATAATCGACATAAACGCAGAGAGCTTAAGCAACTTCACCTGGTCATTTTGATCAGCAACCTTCACAAATAACTGATAGTTCTTCCTGTCTGCTAGCCTGAAGCTTGCATCCGTTTCTCCTGTAAGAAATACAGCGCGCTTCACCATCTTTGAGCTTATATTGACAAATGTTTTCCTGCATTTTCTCGTCAACCAAACAACCCCGGGAAAATTGTGGCAAACGGAGCAGAGCTATCAATAAGTAAAGAGCCACTGTGATTCCGGTGCTATTTCGTGGGCTTGATAATAATATCTCAGGCCCAATTTTGTGGCCCACTATTGATTCGCCCCATTTAGGCCCAGGTTTTGAGTGAGTGGAAAAATTATCTTTAATTATCTCGTAAATATAGCTAAAAAGGAAATAAAATGTCCTAAAACTGAAAATAAATTAATAAAATACCAAAAATTTGAATTCTAATTATCCATTCATATCAAGAATATTATTATGACTTAAAATCTCGTAATTAATTATTTAACATTTAACGATAATTATGATTATTATTATTTATTGTATAAAAAATTTGAACTTATGTAATTTTATACAAAAATTTTATTTAAATAATAACTTAAAACGTCAATATATGTATAGATAACGTTTGGTGGATTATCTTAACAATACTTTTAATATGATCCACTTTGTCATTGTTACAAATTATTTAATTCAAATCGTTCAGGTGGAGATATGCGAGCAATTATATCTACTACAGTGAATTTGTGTAAGAGTATTTTACAAAATATTTAATTACTCTTTATAAATTTGTTTATCGAAAAAAATAATATTTTATAAAATGATCACATGTAACTCAATTTCAATCTTGAATGAATTATAATCTTCCGTGTTTGAGGGTTTGTTATTTGATTTGCATGAGTGAGAATGAATTTTGCAGCTGATTCAGTATACCTATCATTTTGGAAACTTAATCCAAATATAGAACTGATAATATAATCTCACGAGATGGAGGGATGGATGACCTTGTAGGAATATTACTAGAAAGTATGTGAGTGAAGACAAAACATGCTTAAAGGACTCACGTTGGATTGTGATGATAGTTTTCGCTCTTAAAAACAATTCAAGACTGGAAGTAACATGGTCATGTTGCAGGAGATGTAGAAAGAATGTTGAGGCAATTCAGTGCAAAATCTGTATTCTAAATTTTGGTTAGAATCCTCGACATGAGACATAGGGGATGCATGATGTGCGCTCTTGAGAGACCAACTATAGGGTCAACCTCGGTCTCATGTCGTGGTCCAGAGTAGAATTTTGGCTTCAACACAAAATTTTTTATTCTTGTTTGCCTCGTGACCCAGTCGTTCGCTATAGACCTAAATTTTGTCCCGTATTAGAATTTTCTCTCTTAGTTTTGTCCCTGATTTCTCGTGTAACTTGAGTTCGTTCTCTTAATTTAATTTTACTGATAATAACACAAAACAATATAATCATGAAAAAATAAATACTTATTAAAGAAATAATTAATATTAGATAACACTTAGTATTACTTATATTAAAAATAGACACTGATTTAGGTTACTTTGTATTTGGGTTACCTTATTTCTAACAAACATCAGCAATGTGTTGTTAATTATTGGTTCAATTATCAGGGAGCTGGACGTTGAAGGTCTGACAAGCGGCATCTTCCAACACTCTAATGCTAACAGAAATGGCGGATTTGGTTACAGGGTGTTGCACTGTTACATTGTAATCTCCATGGAACAACAAAGCTTCAACCAAACCTTCACCGTCGGCTGTCATTTCCGAACAGGGCGATTTCCATTCAGCCAGAAGCTTATCGACAACGTCTCCTGCTGGGGTGTTCTTGAAATTCAGATCCACAAGCGGCAAGATAGCGAAGTTCGCCGATAATGGGCCTGCAAATGTGATTATCCCCTTCACGGCAGGATGTGCGTATCCTTCTCTTAAAACTTCTTCATAGAATTGTGCCTGTTAGGGGTAGATACCAAGTTTTGTTAGTTATGTCTGGAAGGTGTTTGATGAAATGTCTGAATGAAATTGCATTGTACCTGATTTGGGCCTTCTTTATAATACACTTCTGTGATCCATATGGGGTAGCCTGTTGATCCTAGATAGTCCAAAGCGGATCTCATGTATGGTAGGTTTGGTGGATCAGGGCCGAAGTTGCCCTGCAAGCCGATTCCTGCTGGAATATTTTGGTTCCCGGGATACGATAGGATTTGGAAGAGTCTCTTTCTGTAGTTAGCTGGGGTTGCTTTCTTTTCGTAATCATGTTCCATGGCATTGAATTCGTTGAGGAAAAGAAGCGGTTTCTTATCTAGTTTACGTGCTATCTTGAAGTACATTGCAGAGGCATTTTCACCAAGTTTGTCCTCGAAGAGTCTGTGGTGCACGTTTTCGTTCATGACATCCCAGTGAATAAACTCTCCGGAGTATCTCTTAAGCACGGACTTGATTCTTCTATTGGCTGCTTTCATCAAATCTTTAGGGCTGAGTGACTTGACCCATTCTGGCTGATAAATGGGATCGGCCCAGAAAATGTTGTGTCCTCTGACTTTAATACCATTACGACGGGCAAACTGAAGCATTGCATCAGGGATGGTGTAGTTTTCTTGGCCTTGTACTTTCTCATTGCTATACCACTTAAGTTCATTGGTGAAAGTGGCATAATCAAATCTTGATGCAAACCATTGTTGGTATCTTTTGCTGGAAAGGATATGGCTGTTCATTCCTGCCCCAAATGGGAAGTTTCTTTTTTTCTGGTCGAGGAAGACTTTTGCACCTGCTAGTGTACAGTTGTCTGCTTGAGTTATTTGCAGCCTCACCTTGCTTTTCCTCACCTGCAAAACTTGGTTCCATCATTCCATGTTGTAAGTGTTATTAGCGGGACCGAAGTCCCATCTTGATTAGGGAGGAGGACGAGGGAGCACGGCGAGATAGAAAGAAGTTGTCTCTCTTCTATGGTAACTCGTTGCCAATCATCTAGAATGATCTGCCGCTAGGTTGATTGATCAACTTTCGCTCAGGTAGTGGTCTCCACATCTTACCACTTCTATCGCCGTGAACCTCACAGTTTTAAAACTCATCTGCTAAGGAGAGGTCTTCACACCCTTATAATGAATGTTTCGATCCCCTCTTCAACTGACATGGAATCTCACAATCCATCCTCCTAGGGGTCAGTGTCCTCGCTAGCATATTGTTTAACCTCACAGTTTTAAAACGCGCTGCTAGGGACCCTTATAAGGAATGTTTCGTTCCCTTCTTCAACCGATATGAGATCTCAGCGTCCTTACTGGCACATCGCTCAACCTCACGGTTTTAAAACATGTCTACTACTAAGAGGTTTCCTCACCCTTATAAGAAATGTTTTGTTCCCCTCTCCAACTGACATGAGATCTCACAATCCATCCCCCTAGGGGTCAGTGTCCTCGCTGGCATATTGTTTAGCCTTACAGTTTTAAAACCCGTCTGTTAGGGAGAGGTTTCCACATCCTTATAAGGAATGTTTCGTTCCCCTCTCCAATCGATATGGAACTCACAATCCACCCTCTAGGGCCAGCGTCTTTACTGGCACATCGCTCAGCCTCACGGTTTTAAAACATGTCTACTACTAAGAGGTTTCCACATCCTTGTAAGGAATGCTTCGCCCCCCTCTCCAACCGATTTGAGATCTCACAACTAGTGAAACTTTTGCATTGAATTAAATGTTGCTTTATACTACCTTGTTAATACTTTCTTCTTGGTGGGATAGCCATTGTTCCTTTGTAAATGGTTGCAGTGAGACATTATCAATCCAAATATCTGCTGTCGTATTTGTACTCTGTATAAACATATGAACATTTAGTACATTGTTGTGAAATAACCTTTTGAATAGAGGCCAAACCATATGTTCTCAACTAAATCAAACCAAGTTGGTTAGACCAAAACTTATTCACCTCAAAAAAAAGCTCAGCCTGGCCTGTAAAATTAGAGACAAAGCCACCTTTGAACAAACTCCAGCAGCCCTGCTGGGCTATGGTTTCACCAACATTACGAATCTCACCCCCTTCACTATTTCTGTATAGAACAGCCACAGGTGCGTTCTCTTCACTTAGTCGAACCCAAGCTAGAGATTTTCAAGAATTTAGTGAACTAAAGGTACACTCAACGAGTGTAGATCTGAAAAACACAAGGAATAACGAAAGAAAGATCGACACATACCCGAGAAACTATAGAGCTTTTCATATTGGAGATGAACCAACTGATAGAGACTATCCCTTGGTTGAGTCCTATTGTGAGCTACAATGAAGGTATTGGTGTCGTTGCCTTGTTTCAACCACCCTAGCTTTATTTCTCCTCCTCCATATACTTTCCATCCTTCAGTTCCATTGTTGAACTCTGGATTCACTATGATCCCTCCTCCATGATGAACCCTCCATGGCTTAGCTAGACACTGTTTCATATGATATTTCTCATCATTTAAAAAAAAAATATATGTTAATTGTATACGTAGGTTAGCACGTTTTGTTCATATTTAGCAGAAAAAAAACTCGTTTTCTCATCGACCAACTCCTACAAAAAGTTCTGTAAATCTTAAGCTACACTTACCTCGGCTGTTGCAGAATAGTCATAAGAGAAACCTCGTATGGTTATGAACTTCCCTGAATTGTTCAGAAAATCAATTTTGTTAACCAAATTGATGAAAAAACGAACTGGTTAGTGTTATATTATGTGACAATAAAGAGGAAAAAACCTGAAAATATCAAAATGAAGGGAAGAAAAAAGAGGGTGAGAGCTCTGAAAATGTTCATCTCTTTGAGAAATGAGCTGAAGAACAAAAGTTGGGTATGAGAAGCAATATTTGTTTTGGTCACTCTAATGAAAAATCCCCCCATGATATTGACCATATAACCTTGTACTTTGTTAAATAATTTATGGAGATTTGATTCTTTGCCTTTTTTAGAAATAGTGTATTTTCTTTGTTAAGCATCGTTTCTTAAATTGTATCGTTCTTATCTGCTTACATCGTTATTTACAATACTGATTAATTGTGGTTGTTGATTCGCAAATTTGAATATAACGTATGTACTTGACTTGTATATGCTTAATCGATACCATTTGTGTGATGAAAAAAGAGCTTATTTTCGTATTACTGTGATGTTTGTTCCCATTCTTTTAATAGTTAAACTGAGAGGGGATCGAATTGACCTTTTAGATTATTACGGGTCAGAGGGAAATCTAACCATACTTGAGTTCAAGAGTTAGTTCATATAACTCGTAGGGATGGGTGGGATCGGAAAAGAGGTAGGGAATGGGGGAAGATTTTTTGTGAAATATTTTTTGATCTTTTAAGATATTTTTCTTTTTTTAATAGAAATTATATTGAAAAATAGAAATTATCTATTAAAAATTACTTGAAATAGAATATATATATTTTAGTTCAGGTAAAATTTTTCATTTATTTTTATAGAATCGGGCGGAGATTCTCCACGTGGAATTTTGTGAGGATGAAGAAAAACTTCTTTGCCCTCGTCTCACCCATCGATATCTCTACTCATGTTTGGAGCGATGTGATTGGTCAAAATTTTTGTTTATTAAAGGTGGCCTATGCGTAGTCTAGTTAGCAAGGGCTAGTTTGGCCTCAACCAAGCTCGACTCAAGCCAATTTTTCCTTAAGCCTATTTCTACTTCGAGTCTCCGTGCTTAAGTCGTTCCTTTCATCTCGAGATAGTTAGGTGATTCAAATCGTATGAGGCAATTTATGACATATTATGAAATATATAATTTTGTATAATTAGTCATGCATCCCTTTCTTAATTTTGATGGAGCACCCATGGAAGGTAAAAAGGAATTATTTATATTTATATTTAAAGTAATTATTTTATGATAATCGCTATTTTGTTATTTAAAATCCTATCTGTTAATTAACCTTAATTACATATATATTTCCAACTTTATCTTTAAATGAATATTGCAATTAATAAATAATAATAACGTGATTAAAAAGTAAATAAATATGCTGACGAATCACAATTAACCCATTGACATATTTGTATTAATTATATTTTAACAAAAATAAATAAATAAATAAAGTTAATTTATTGCCGTTGTTTATTAAAATGAGAGGTGTTTAAAAAAAATTTCGATATCCTAAAAATCCAATCAGTTCAACCCAATTCATATGGTTTGGATTTAAATAAAGAAAACTTGGTGGTTCATTATTTCCGTAAAATAAAATTGGTTAAATCCGAATTTATTGTAATATATATTTTTATTTATAATTATATAAATATATATTTATTTTACCTCAGGATTATTTTTTATTATTTATTTTCTATAAATTTTTAAAAATATTTTTTTACTATTTAAAATATATTAACTTTTAATTTTTTTTTATTAATATATTGAGGAAAATAGACGAAAATAGACATGTGTATTTTTATTTAGTTAAATTATTATTTAACTACAATTCGTTCAATTATTGCTGAGTTGGACATTGAAGGTCTGATAAGCGGCATCTTCAGACACTCTAATGCTAACAGAAGTGGCGGATTTGGTTCCAGGGTGCTGCACTGTTACATTGTAGTCTCCATGGAACAACAAAGCTTCAACAAAACCTTCACCATCGTCTGTAATTTCCAAGTTGGGCGATTTCCATTCAGCCAGAAGCTTATCGACAACGTCTCCTGCTGGGGTGTTCTTGAAATTCAGATCCACAAGCGGCAGGGTAGTGAAATTCGCCGATAATGGGCCTGCAAATGTGATTATGCCCTTCACTGCAGGATGTGCGTATCCTTCTCTTAGAACTTCCTCATAGTATTGTGCCTGTTAGGGGAAGATACCAAGTTTTGTTAGTTATGTCTGGAAGGTGTTTGATGAAATGCTTGAAAAAAATTGCTTTGTACCTGATTTGGAGTTTTGCGATAAAACACTTCTGTGATCCATATGGGGTAGCCTGTTGATCCTAGATAGTCCAATGCGGATCTCATGTATGGTAGGTTTGGCGGATCAGGGCCGAAGTTGCCCTGCAAGCCGATTCCTGCTGGAATATTTTTGTTCCCGGGATACGATAGGATTTGGAAGAGTTTCTTTCTTACGTTAGCCGGGGTTGCTGTCGTTTTATTACCACGTTCCATGGTATTGTATTCATTCACGAAAAGAAGTGTCTTACTGTCAAGTTTATGTGCTGTGTTGAAGTACTCTGCTGAGGCATTTTCACCGAGTTTGTCCTCAAAGTATCTGAAGTGTACATTTTCATTCATGACGTCCCAATGGATAAACTTACCAGAATATCTCTTAACCACGGAGTTGATTCTTTTTTCTGCTGCTATCTTCAAATCTGCAGGGGAGAGTGACTTGACCCATTGTGGCTGAAACTTGGGATTGGCCCAGAAAATGTTGTGTCCTCTTACTGAAATACCATGTTGATTGGCAAACTCAAGCATCGCATCAGGGATGGTGTAGTTCTCTTTGCCTCGTTCTCTCTCAGTGCTATACCACTTAAGTTCATTTGTAAAAGTGGCATAAGAAAATCTTGATGCAAACCAATCTTGGTATTCTTTGCTGGAGAGAATGTGGTAGTTCATTCCTGCTCCAAATGGGAAGTTTGGTTTTTTCTGGTCGAGGAAGACTTTTGCACCTGCTAGTTTACTGTTGTCTGCTCGAGTTATTTGCAGCCTCACCTTGCTTTTCCTCACCTGCAAAATGTGTTTCCATCATTCCAAATACGTGTTAATTCTGGGATCGAAGTTCCACCTTGGCCAGAGGGGTGGGAACTCCTCATGAGTTTATAAGTGGATGGAGATACAATTATTTGAAGGAACATCTCTATGGCCGGTTAGGAATTATGGACCTCTACAATGGTATGATATTGATGGCTTTGTTTTGGGCTTCCCCAAAAGATCAAAAAACCTCATACTAATGGACATGTATTCCTTACTTATAAACCCATGATCATTCCCTAAATTCGCCATTGTGGGACTCCCTCCCAACAATCCTCAACATGGCCTTTTATTGAGAAGATTACGAAGGTTGTGACTAAGATATGACATTGGCTAAGAAGGAAGAAGATCAAGAGTTTGTAAGGTCAGTATTTCGAGACTTTTGAATCAAATCTTAAAAGTGAATTCGTGTGACTTCAAGTTCAAAGTAGATGATATCTTACGAATGAAGAGCTGATTGTCCTAACAATATGGGGAGACACATTCAAAGGTTATACCAATTTCTTTCTTTATATTACCTTGTTAATGCTTCTGTCTTGGTGGGACCGCCATTGCTCCTTTGTAAATGGTTGCAGTGAGACATTATCGATCCAAATTTCTGCTGATGTATTTTCACTCTGTATAAACAAAAGCAAAACAAGCTATAGGCATTTAGTACATTGAGTTCTGAATGGAGCATGAATTTGAAAAAGATTTGCTTGAATGTTGCAGCATACTCTAGTGGCCAACCACGTACTCTACTAAATCAAGCCAAGTTGGTGAAAGCAAAAGTTATTCACCTCAAAAAAGACCTCCGCATGGCCTGTGAAATCAGAGACAATGCCACCTTTGAGCAAACTCCAGCAGCCCTGCTTGGCTATGGTTTCACCACCATGAAGAATCTGACCATCTTTACTGTTTCTGAATAGAACAGCGACAGGTGCGCTTCCTTCACTTAGTCGAACCCAAGCTGTTTATTTTATAGCATGTTTCTGATTAGACGGTGTATGATTTAAGAGCATTAAATTTTATATTCAGAAATCACGAGTAGATCTAAAAGCTTAAGCTGATAAATTACGCGTAGATCAATGGCCAGTAGTAATAAAGAACACGAGAGAAGGAAAGAAAGATCGACCCATACCAGAAAAACTATAGTGCTTTCCATGTCGGAGATGAACCAACTGATAGAGACTATCCCTTGGGTGAGCCCTCTTGTGAGCTACAATGAACGTATTGATATCGTCGTCTTGTTTCAATGACCCTTGCTTTATTTCACCTCCTCCAAACATTTTCCACCCTTCAATTCCATTGTTGAACTCTGGATTCACTATGATCCCTCCTCCATGATGAACCCTCCTTGGCTTCGCTAGACACTGTTTCATATAATATTTCTCATAATTTCGAAAAAAAATATATGTTAATTATTTACTTAGGTTAGCACGTTTTGTTCGTATTTAGCAGAAAAAAACTCTTCTCATCACCAACACAAATTACAAGTTCTGTAAATCTTAAGCTACACTTACCTCAATTGTTGCAGAATAGTCATAAGAGAAACCTCGGCTGGTTATGAACTTCCCTGAATTGTTCAGAAAATCAATTTTGTTAACTCAAATCGATGAAAAAACGAACTTGTTAGTGTTATATTATGTAATAAAGAGGAAAAAACCTGAAAATATCAAAATGAAGGGAAGAAAAAAGAGGGTGAGAGCTCTGAAAATGTTCATCTCTCTGAGAAATGAACTGAAGAACAAAGTTGGGTATGAGAAGCAATGTTTGTTTTGGTCACTCTAATGAAAAATCCCCCCATGATATATACAACATAACCTTAACCTTGTATTTGTTAAAAAATTATGGAGGTTTGATTTGTTGACTTTTTCAGAAATAGAGTTTTTTTTTTTTTTTTTTTTTTTTTTTTTTTTTTTTTTTTTTTTTTTTTTTTTTTTTTTTTTTTTT